GTTCGAAACTTTCCTTCCGCGGTGCCAGGCATTCCAGGTTGCGCCAACTCCAAGCCGAGACACATTCCGCGCGCCGAACGTTCAAGGCGGTTTTAATTAAATTGGGGGAAGGCTCCTACCTGGAGGAACGTTGCTTTCGCACATGTGTGGAGAGGCTTGTGCAATGAATCTTGAGAAGTTCTCATGATGCAACCGGGTGCTTTGTGTGTGTGTGTGTGTGTGTGTGTGTGTGTGTGATGATGAAGCTGAGGCGGCTGTGTCGTTCTGCACCTGTGTATTGAATTCGGTGCGCTTGATTGCAAAGAATTTGCACAGGTTTGTCACTTGAGCCAGCAGGAATTCCTCATGGAGAATCTTCTCCCCTCCCCAAAATCTAGGATGAAGTCCCCTTCAAATCATGTTTGACTTCACAAGACAATGGAGCTGTCACCTCTCCGAAATGTTGCAAGCGAGCCCAGTTGTTGATGACCCTCCCAAAAAAGGCAACTCAATCAGAATAGAGCTGGAAGGGACCTTGGAGGTCTTCTAGTCCAGCTCCCTGATCAAGCAGGAGATCCTATCCCATTTCAGACAAGTGACTGCCTAGCCTCTTTTTAAAATAGAGTAGAGTAGAGTAGAGTAGAATAGAATAGAATAGAATAGAATAGAATAGAATAGAATAGAATAGAATAGAATAGAGTTGGAAGGGACCTTGGAGGTCTTCTAGTCCAGCCCCCTGCTCAAGCAGGAGACCCTATACCATTTCAGACAGGTGGCTGTCCAGTCTTTTCTTAAAAACCTCCGGTAATGAATTCCAAAGATGCTTTTTCACAAGGCAACTGGACTTCCTTGTTTTTCTTTGAAGACGTTTCGCTTCTCATCCAAGAAGCTTCTTCAGCTCTGACTGGATGGTGGAGAGTGGAAGGACCATCATAGTCAGAGCTGAAGAAGCTTCTTGGATGAGAAGCGAAACGTCTTCAAAGAAAAACAAAGTCCAGTTGCCTCATGAAAAAGCATCTTTCGGACAACCATGACTTGGATGACTGAGAATCTCCATAGACCTCCAGTGATGGTGCGCCCACTGTTTCTGGTGGCAAGCTGTTCCACTGGTTAATTGTCCTCACTGTTAGGAAGTTTCTCCTTAATTCCAGGTTGCTTCTCTCTTTGGTCAGTTTCCATCCATTGTTTCTTGTCTTGCCTCATATTCTAGTACCCTAGTAGCAAATCTTGACTCTTGTTCATGTTGAGCGTGGTGCACAGATTTTACTACCACCCTGAGCTCAAAGTGGACACAAGTAGAGCTAGTCCTTAACAACTGTTCCATCTTTGTTGTT